TATAGAGGGCCATTTATTAGAATAGATAAAAAATAAAATTAATAATAAATATGAACTTTATTTTGAATACTTATTATTTCATTCTTATTTCTTCTATTTTGAATTTTAACCAAGTTAATTTTTAATACTATATTGTAATTGTTTCGACTTTATTTTCTTATTTCTTTCATCATCGGTGGTCTTTTTTATTGAAATATATCAATTTAAGCCAAAAGTTGTGTCAACTTGAAGATAGTTTTACTTGTATGATGAATTTGAAAAATAATAAAATTAAATATTTTTGCTAATTAGCTATTCCAAATACTTAATTATTTATTTTCAGCAATAAAAGATATAATTATATTTTATTGATTTAAATTCTTAATATTAGCTCATACCAAATTTTAAATGTTCGATTATAATTATATTTTATCGAATAAAAATTCTTTTGTCAAATTGTAAGAAAATCAAATGAGTGGGAATTAGTTTTGTATATTTTAAAGTATTTTAGTATATAAAAGAGTTTCACCTAAATCAAAACATATAAAAAGTTACTCCGTCATCTTCCAAGAACGTCGTTGATGATAGGCTATAATTACGTATTTTAGTCCCTTATTATACTCTAATTTACTGCACTTTAGTTGAGTTTGAGCTTTAATCGCTAGTGTTTTGCACTAATTATGTATTTTATGCCTTGTGGGAGTGATTCCGAGCTATGTAGATGATATGAAATGAATTCAAGTTATTTGGAGCTTTGAATTATGAGTAAAAGCCCAAGGAATAAAGTCGGGATCGTGTTCAGGGATCAACAGATGATAGTTAAGAACGAACGAAGAATCAAGTAGGCATATTGCGCACTGTCTAGTAAACTGAACATAACTTTTCGCTCAAAACTCCATTTGGGCTCCACAATATATTGTTGGAAAGATAATTCAAAGGGATGCAATTTTCATGTTTTACGTTTTTCCCATTGCCAAACATAACAGGGTGAAACATACGTGAGAATTGCACGACCGCGCACTAGCCGCGGGTGTGAGGCAGAAACTGGCCAAAATCCGCGGCCGCGGACGTCCTGACCTGGAAAAGTATCATTTTTCGCGTAGGAGAAAGTATAATTGTTTGGTCCAGACCCTACTTGGTATATATACATGAAAAAATGGTATTTTGAGGACTTTTGACATATTTTTGACACAATTTAGACCTAAGGAAGCTAAGGAGACTAAGGAGACTGGGGATTCGACCTAAGGAGGCAAGAACACACTAGGAGCAAGGCGGAGAATTCTTCTACAAGTTTCTCACTTCCTTCTTACTATTTCTATTATTGGTTATGAATTCTAGTATTGTAGTTATGCATACTATTATGAATAGCTAATTTGTTATCTAGGATTTTGATGGAACTTTTTGTAGGATGAATTCTTGTTATGTTTTAATATAATTTAGCCTTTGAATTTATCTATTTGTTCAACTACGTATTTATTTCAGTTGATTGAATGGCCATCGATTGACTGTGCCTATTTATTATATGTTGTTTGTGAAAGGATACATATTTAGGTGGTTGTTGAACAACGTCACTCCTAACGTATGTGAGAAATCAATACAGTGGGTTTAAAGGTAGGTTTAGAAATAATAAAGCCTTGACGTGGTCATAGTGAGCGGTTCGATGAAGCCAACTAGAGTAGTTCGAGAGAATATGTCTAGTAAATTATTGTAGTTGCTCGAGAGAGAATTACGACACCTAAAGTGCTCACGATCAGTAGAGAATACATCGGCGAAATTGTTGGGAACATAGCTGGAAGGATTCCGACAATTAGGGTAATCATAACTCTAGACCTCCTTAATTTAGTCTCCAACCCTTTGTCTCGTTAGTTGATAATTTTACCGCTTTCTAGTATTTGCTAGTTAATTCGTTAGATATATAAATCTCAATCTTTATAATTTAAAAAATTATTCAAACTTGTCTTCTTAGTGATATTAAAAAGCTATAGCTAAGTCTTAGTTCTTTGTGGGATTCGACTCCGGACTTTTAGACCGGATTATATTTGCAACGACCGCTTATCCTTTTTAGGACTAAAGTTGGGCGTGATCAACGTCCTCTTTCTTTTTTGATTGAATTCTTGGTATCTGTCCAAAGGAATAAACTTCTAAACACCAAGTGGTTACGTCCTATTTGGTTATTATTTTTAATTCTTTCCTTTTCTTGCCATTTATTTATATAATTTAAGTGTAAAAATTTATATAAAATAAAATGTTAATATTTTTGAAGTTCTAAATATTAATGTTTTCTACGTAATCCAAATAAGGAAGAATGTAATATATAAAATTTAGTTGATTTTGTAGTCCTAAATATTAGAAAAAATAATTAAATGAGTATTCCTACTTATTAGGAAAATAATTAAATGAGTATTCTTACATATTAGAAAAATAACTAAATTACTATTTTATCCAATGTAACCTCTATTTTTAAAGGGTAATAAAAAAGACGAACGATATTTCGTTATAGGGTCTTCGTACTTTTAATATAATACTAGATTTAGTGTACGTGCGTTGCACGTGTGTACTGCGTCAAATATTTTAGTTATATTGTATTTTATTATATGGGAGCACGACAAAATAGTATAAGAAATAGCTTGACAAAAGGTTGAAGCACAAAGTCTGACGTAATATGGCGACTGTCAAGTTCAACCAAGATTCACAATCAATAATACCAAAATAAAGATGTATGGGTTAATCATTACGGCTAAAAACGCATATGATAAAATGCGTAGTCAATTTCAAAAATGCAAGAAGACTGGTTTATTTGGCCGAATCTGACTCTAAGCCCACCCTTTTGCTAGTTTCTTTATTATGCTAGTTCAACTATTGCTTCTAATTGAAATATATAAACACCTGAAGTTCATAATTCAATAAAGATAGATAGAAGAGAGAATGTCACTTTAGAAAGAAAAAAAAAACTCTTTGATCTATCGGTTGACTCTGTCTTTTTAACATCCTTGATCTTGATATGTTTTCAGGAGCAGAGAAGGAATGAAATAAAAAATCAAATCCGTTTGGACAGAGATTGAGAAAGTCCTATACTCGATGTACTTCCATCTTAAAGTATTGAAAGAAAGGTAGGCAGCTTTGTCGAGTTTCAGAGGTGAGGCCATAAGAAAATATTATGAAAGAAAACTACAATCGCAGTTACTCATATTTATAAAGAATTAATTTATCAAAACTTTATTAACAAAAAAACACTAAATTTTATTAAATAAAAATCCTTCCTAAACCTAAAAGGAGAAATCTAAATATAAATGAAATTAGAAAGCAAACGAAACCTAATGTGAATTGCAAGAATTTAATACTGTTACCTTCGTAAACCTAAAAGGAGATATTTAACACTCCAAAATATATGAAATTTCCTATTTCATTAACAAAACAAAAAAAAAAAACTAAACCTAAAAGGTAACTACTCCTAAATAGTAGGAAATCAATTAAAATAACTATTGCCAAATATTAAGCAAATAACTTAAATTACTATTTTATCAAATGTGAACTCTATTGTTGAAGGATAAAAAAGGCGAACAATATTCCGCTAAATGTTTTCGTGCTTTTATTAGTAGATAAATAAATAGATATAGATATAGATATGTTATATTTTGCGCACACAAAAAACAAAAATAAATAGAAGATCAATAACGAGCGATTTGAGTTCAATTTATATGCTCACGGAGTGGAATTCACACATTTTAAACTACCAAACTTAAACTCACTACAAATTATTACATCTAAAAAAGACAAAATAAAAAAGCTTTATATCCAACAATGCTACAACAGAGATGCTAACTCATTTGACAAAATAGCAGTTTCATCTCTAAATTTCGCTCGGACGATATACATATGATACAAATTTCTATGATCACTCACCGCCATTCACATCTCCAACCTTTTGAATCACCATCATGACACCGCAAAATTTCAAATTGTGAAGACACTTGTCTCTCAATAAAAATGATGTATTATATAAAGCCAAGAATTAAATCTCAAATTACCTAATAGTTAGTTGTAATAATTTTTAAAAATAATAAAATTTTAAAAGTTAATTGTAATCATAATTTTATCCAACATGGAATGCACTACAAAGGGTACAAAAACTTAATTGACATTGAGATACATATATTCGTTAATCTTGAAACGATGAGTGACGGAAGGATTAAATTGGTTAATTTTGAAAATTTTTGAGTATTGTTTTTTTGTCCACAAGAACACTTAGGGGTCGTTTGGTTTGAAGACATGTTATGCTGGGATAAGTTATGGTGGAATAAGTTATGCTGAGATTAGTTATCCTGGTATTATTTTTTATCCACTGTTTGATATGTTGTATTAAAAATGACATGCATTGCATAATTTCTAAGACGAAATTGTTTGTTTATAAAAAAACCCTCCATCTTATTTAGCCTCCCTATTCTTGTCCTTTATCCAATTGACATACGTCAATTTCCAATTCGAGGTTGAAAGGCTATGATTTTCCTCAATTATTTACTAAATAAAATTCAGCAAAACAATTACGTAGTATTCATAAAAGAGTGATCGATTTTTTACTATTTTGAAAGAGAAGAGGTCTGTACCCAAATTATGCAACAAAGAACTTATAAATGATAACAAAAAAGAACAGGAGAAATAGGTTTTGACAGAAATTTCAACCTTGTGAGAAAATCAAAATGGAAGATAATGTCGAAGTTGTTCCTCAATCACTACATCATAGCTTCTACATCCAAAGAAGTCTACAAGAGCAACAAAATTTTTAGTGACGTTGCTTTACCAATATTAGTAAAGAATGGGAAAAGTGAAGTAGAAAAATGATTAGTTATTTCCGTATTAATTATTCATATCTACAAGTTATAAATTATTTAAATATTAATTTTAATCCCGAAATAACTTATCCCAAATTTAATAAACAAAGTATAAGGTGATATTAATTTTTACCCACCACTATTTTTACTTATCCCTCCTGCAAAACGACCCTCGAGTATTTAACTTGAGTTGTGGGTGTAAGTTAGCCGGAAAAGAAGTGTATTCAGATCAGGGCATGTGTCGGTTCCAGGCGTCGAAGTTGTAGGAGCATTCCTCCCTCGTACGCGGAACGCCATCATTCTTATGATATATCCCAACCCCACCAGAATTAGTCGCCATTGCTGGATAGCAAAGTTCACATACCGATGAAGAAGTGAGTCAAAATGTCGGCTTCTCAAACGCTAGGCGGGCCTTCGCGCTGTGGCTGGGTACTGGGTCCGTCTCTTGATAAGATCATCAAGAACGTCGCCTGGAGGAAACACTCGCAGCTCGTCGCCGCCTGCAAGTCCGCTCTCGACAAGCTTGATTCCGTTGATGACGACCCTGTAGATCCAGCTTCCTGCACCCCTCTCTATGGCCTCTCTCCTTCCGATGCTGATTTCGTCTTGCAACCCCTCATCATGGCTCTCGACTCCGCATCTCCCAAAGTTGTCGAACCCGCCCTAGATTGCGCCTTCAGGTTATTCTCCTTGGGCTTGATCCGATGCGAGATCGACACCCCCAGCCCTAACCCAAGTCCTCCCTCCCTCATTTTCCGCCTTATAGATTCCGTCTGCAAATGCGGCGCTCTTGGGGACGAAGCAATCGAGCTTGCCCTTCTCAGGGTCTTGCTCTCCGTCGTTCGATCTCCCTACGTGCTTGTCAGAGGTGATTGCCTTGTCCACGTTGTTAGGTCCTGTTACAATGTCTATCTCGGGGGCATGAATGGCACCAATCAGATTTGCGCCAAGTCCGTCCTTGCTCAGATGATGATGATTGTTTTCACCAGGGTGGAGGAGAACTCCATGATGGTGGAATTCAAGACCGTCTCTGTGGCTGAACTCTTGGAGTTCACGGATAGGAATTTGAATGAGGGCAGCTCTATACAGTTCGCCCAGAACTTTCTCAATGAGATTGTGGATGCCAAGTCCAAGGAAGGCCTTGCTGAATCGAAATTGTGTTTGCAGTTGGAGAATGACAAGGGTGAAAAAAAGAAGGGTGAGCCCACTGATGGGGAACTGAGTGAGGAAGCTGATCTGAGTGGTTACAGTAAAATTAGAGAGGACGGTTTCATGCTCTTCAAGAATTTATGTAAGTTGTCTATGAAGTTTTCATCACAGGAGCATGCGGATGACAACATTTTGTTAAGGGGGAAAGTGTTATCGTTGGAGCTCCTAAAGGTTATAATGGATAATGCTGGTCCAATTTGGCGCTCAAATGAGAGGTTTATGTCATTCTGTTACTATGTTCTGCTGATTTCTTGCCGTCTATTTTTTTTGTTTGTTACGCAGGGTCTACCCATTCAACTAACATGGCCGGGAAATTACATCTTATGCTTTTATGATAGACCCTCTAAAGTCGAGGAGTTAACTTCTGTCACCAGTTCGACAATAGATCTTTCTAATTGGAACTTTTAGATTAGTTTTGCGTGCAAGATGTGATGGTTTAAATTAATATGTCTAGCTTCCCCTGATATACAGACATTACATAGATTGATATGATAGTTCGCTTGCCCTTAAAGAAATCTTTGGTGGTGTAGAATGTAGTTAGTTCTCACATAAAGGATGAAAAGTTGATAGAAAAAGTTGTACCATTGATCCATAGGAACCAGGTGGGAGAGCTCATGAAGCTACAAGTGTCACTAGAAATGGATTATTTGTAGTATTTGACCATTATGCATCTAGGCTAGATACCAAGCTTATCGTGATCGCATGAAGTTGTGGTGTAAACTTTGAAGCTTGGGTTCTCGTATCTTTTCACTATATGTCATTTCGAGTTGATTTATGTTCACTTTGAGGCTTTTTCTGTTTGTTTCTGTTTCAATTGGAGCTCCAACTAGACTGTCTTTTGAGCTCATTTCGAGGTCTTCAAGCTTAGTCAAGTGATATGGTTGGCTCATATTGACTTGAAGTCAATCTCCCCATTAGATCTACTTCGCTCTCCGTCTTCGAATATGGCCTCGGTCGAGGCAACGACCAGTTTTCTACTGGATTCTTTTGTTGTGACTTACCTTTGAAGGAAATTCTTCTTTTTGTTCATTTGTTTCCTTGTTTTACATCTCTGGTTTTCTGGACCTCGAAACTTGGCGGCACAGAAGTGCAAATGGCCTCCGGGTACCTCATTATGGTTCACTTGCTTTAAGTTCCACTTTTAGACTTTTGTCTTGATGGGTCAGAACCACTTCTTGGGCTCAATTTAACTTCAGTTCATCATGTAGAATTTTTTAAAAGTGGCCTGTCATTATGTAGTCCACTTTCTCCTTGTCTTATGGGGTCTTCATTATTCTCTTCTTGTGTTGCCAAAGTGAAAACATAACTAAGGCACATATTTAACTACAGAAAGGCACAAATAATCCTAATTTAGAAAAAGTCAAAAATAATAAAAAGGGGGTAAATGTGATGCAATAAAAATAATTTTAATACAGACAACAATTATATGAACAAAGAAATTGAAAAACCTTCAATCAAGTGAAATATATGATTTGAGATTGAGGTGTAGCAATAGTATTTGTTATTAAGTGAAATATACGAAGTACAAATCATGTTTATTGAGTTCCAAACCATTTTAAATTTGTAATTCAGATGCAAAGATACAAATTTAAGTTTCTAATTCAAATTAGCGAATAATTATCTTATACTAAATTTTGACTTTTCTGATTCTCATCTCTTACGCTTTGCAAGTTATCTTAATTGTTAGAGTCAACCCTTTTCAAGATAGTCTGTGGACGATTTGACGCATGCCTTAGGATAAGTCTCTAGGTGAAGCACCCGACTTATCTATGCTTAGCTTCAGTCCTCAAGAGTTAAGCTAGCATCAAGCGTGTCCTTGACAACACTAACCTTGCCATGCGTTCAATTAGAGCTAGGCTTGACGAGCAGCGGGGGAGCTGGGGGCGTAAGGGGGGTTCATCAGAACCTCCTTCACCGGAAAAAACACTTTATATATAGTATAAGTTGAATCCCCTTGGCTTGTTCGTTTGTTTACTTCTATATATTTTGAATTCCTTTAGTGATAATCCTCGCTGTGCCACTATGACGAGGCGTGGCTCAAGGACCTTCCCTTTTTTCATTATGGGCCTTGCTTCCCCCATTCACATTAAGTCCGCTCCAGGCCTACGTTTTATGGCCCATCTGTGTTCATATTTGTATTGCAAACTTACAAATGGGCTGTCCTATGCCATTGGCGGTTGGTTATTCGTCTTCTTCCTCTATTCTAGTGCCTTTTCGTATGTTGGTGATGACTAACGATTGTGGTTCTCACATTGCCTTCAAATTGAAAGACATTGGTCTCAACCTTTTTTGGTCGTAGTTGATGCTTCGAATTTGTCCACTCAGTCTACTTTTCCAGCGAAACCCATTTTTGGTTACACACAGTGCTATTCTCATCCAAAATTTAACTACAGTAGGTCCTTTACTAAAGTTTATTTTAATTTTAACCTTAGAAATATAACCCCAAATGGGACATTCCATGCATGAGAAGCGGATCCGCTACGTCTCGGGTGAACCTTCTGACTTCTGTCACATGTACGCACCTGTATGGCTTCAAAACTCCAACTTCTTCTTGGTTTCAGAGTGCGAATCTTGACCGTATTATCATGCTTGCGGCTTGGTTCGTGTTACGACCCCCACTTCTTTTGACATTCTGCTCCAGAAGATTCCTTAGTTACTGGCAGAGGTTTTAGAGAGAAGGAAGAGATGATAAAAACTTGACTGCCAGATTAACATTTGTAGGATAGCAAGTCTTAGATTATCATTCCTGGTAAAAGTTGGACTACAAATCCTTGTAACGGATCTTGCGTCTAAGAGAGTTTCTCAAAAAAAAAAAGAAGTTTCTCACAAATTAAGAAACTGCTTAAGATATTGAAACTCGTAATGAAACAAGAATTTGAAAGTAAATCCTGATGTAACTGAGTTTACTGTAGCTGGAAAAGTGATTTAAGCTAAAATTTCTTTTAGATTTATTCTTGATCGTAGATTTTATCCTACAACATTCAGCTTGATTGATAAAGAAAGTCCACCCTTCTTTATTCTTAATGTAGCAAAGTCGAGCTTTGTGTAGAAGTCATTTGTCTCAACTGGGTTCTAAAGAACTCAAGATAATAATATGTTAATGTATCTGCATTTTCGGAAAAAAAGGTTGATGTATCTGGTATATTTCTGGCTTAACATTGTCTTCTGAATACAGGTTTCTCAATGTTATCAAGCAATTTTTATGCTTATCATTGTTGAAGAACAGTGCATTATCTGTGATGACGATCTTTCAACTTCTTTGTTCAATATTCAAGAACTTATTATCAAAATATAGATCTGGGTTGAAATCGGAAATTGGAATCTTTTTCCCCATGCTCGTCTTACGTGTGCTGGAGAATGTGCTTCAGCCTAGTTTCTTGCAGAAGATGACTGTTTTGAGTTTGCTGGAGGAGGTATCAAAGGACCCTCAGATTAGCATTGATGTCTTTGTCAATTATGATTGTGATGTCGATGCTCCCAACATTTTTGAAAGGTATTTTTTTTTAGTTGTGCTCTACTTTTTGCTATGACTGTAATTTATGTCCTCTAGTATGTGACTAGCCTTGGCGTAACTGGTAAAGTTGCTGCCATGTGACCAGGAGGTCACGGGTTCGAGCCGTGGAAACATTCTCTTGCAAAAATGTAGGGTAAGGCTGCGTACAATAGACCCTTGTGGTCCGGCCCTTCCCCGGACCCCGCGCATAGCAGGAGCTTAGTGCACCGGGCTGCCCTTTTAGTATGTGACCAAGTAAACTTTGAAAAGAACAATCATATATTTCACTAATGGCTTATTTAGATTATATTATGTAATGGTTTGTTTCATCAGTCATAGACACTGCTGCATTCATTTTACAAGCTTCTTAGTTGATTGTTGAGATTTATTTTGATGTTGCATTCATTTTTTCAAGCTTCCTAGTTGATTTTGATATTCACAATAAAAAGCCAGAGTCAAGGTCCTTGAGTTTTATTATCTTTTTCGTTGGACTTTAGAGTATATGATGGATTCTTTAATTGAAAAAGGTTATAGTAGAATGTTTCTCTTTGTTATTAGGTATGAACTAGAAATCTGAGATACAACTTGATCTCCAAGTCTTTAATCGTTTTTGACTCTGTCTAGACTTGTCCCAAGTTTATTTAGTTTCCAAGAAATTCTTCATATCAGAATCTTGTTGTTCTTATGTATACTAGTAATAATAACTTCATTTAGTATGTGTGGTGGATATGAAAAATCACACTTCCCATATTAACCTCAGACTATTTGCCGATAGTGTTGGCTGTAACAGGAGGCAAAGGCGAAGGGGACATGCACCTCTCATATTCGACGTCACATGGCTAAGAGTGTTGGTAGGATGGTGCAATGGTGAGGTAGTTATCAAAAGGAATATTGTCTTCCCAAATGGCTAGCAAGATGAAATTCCTAAGAACGGATAATTGAAGGTTGAACAAATAGGTTTATGGGTGGGCGAAGGGTAAATTAGATTGCTAATGCCTATCTTGGAGGAATTAGAGAGTAGATAGGGGAGAGAGTTATAGCATGTTTGGCCAAGCTTCTACAATCTGCTTATTTTGAGAAGTGCTTTTTTCAAAAGTACTTTTCAAAAGAGTACTTTTGGTGAGAATCAGTTTGTGTTTGGCTAATTAATTTGAAAATCACTTTTGAGCATTAATTACTGTTTGACCAAGCTTTTGAAAACTGCTTCTAAGTGTATATTTTTCAAAAGTGCTTCTCAGAAAAGTGCTTTTTGAGAGAAGCTACATTTTTCTGCTTCTCAAAAACTGCTTCTGCTTCTCCTCAAAAGCACTTTTTTTCGTCCTTCTAAAACCTTGGCGAAACACCTCAATATTTGGCCCAAAAAAAAGCTTGGTCAAACAGGCTATTAGATTGTGCAGGAGAAAGTGGAGTTGGCAATAGTCTAGGAAACTTAACGGAGGCAAAAACCAAAGAAGCTTTGGTATCAGAGCTTTTGGTGAGAGACTAGTTGTTGTGCAATCACTTGCAACATACAAGTGATAAACTCCCTTGCCGTGAATGTTGTCAAAGGCGGCAAAAAAAGGCGCAATGATAGAAAGAAAGAAATATATATGTAACTAATACACTTGTTTGTCGATTACTATTGTTGTTTAATAATGCCCAATTTAAGATAAAAAATAAGGCGCACACTTTAGTGCCTTGGTGTACACACTGAAGTGCAACTTGAGCGAAGCGAAACGCGCTACCTGAGCTTTTCTGAGCTTTAGGGCTTAAGCACGCCTTAATGAGCATTTACCAACACTGCTTGCCGTGTAATTTTCCGGTGAGTGTGTTGATTTTCTGAAGAGTTTATCACTTTCTGTCCATGCTGTGCACATAACATTACCACCAGGAGACTCTCATTGTGTACCCACCTTTGGGTACCCACTGCCGGAAACCTGTCATGCACCTCCACGTGCCAAGGAAACTCCTTTTCATTGTGTACCCACTGCCGGAAACCTTGTCATGCACCCCCATGTGTGTCACCGGTGTTATCAAAGGCGAAAAGCGTAAGAAAAGCTTTAAGGTCTGTTGGAGCTTTAAGCGCAAAGCGCAAGTAAAGCGTGGACTTTAATGAAGAAAGGTGCAAATGGAGAAAACTACAAATATATTTGTATAGTCAAAGACTAATATCTATTGGCATGAATACCAAATATATGAACAAAGAAATTGAAGAAAATTTACGATAAAGTAAAATATCAATTGTTTAGTATCGCCTATTCAGGATTACACTCATTGGCAAGGAAAAGTATGCCTTAGAGCCTTGATGGCAACACTGAAGTGTCCGCTAAACGAGGCGAAACGCTCAACATATTTTGAGCCTCGCTTTCAGGGCTTAAGCTTTTGATAACACTGTAGTGTCACGATCCAAAATCCCACCAACTCATGATGTCACCTAACCCAATCCACTAGGTAAGCCAACCAACATATAATACAGCTCGGACGGAAGATCATCAAATACATAATAAAATAAGAATGCGAAAATTAATACAAATATCCCCAAAAAATGGTAGTACAAATCATGAGCCGCTCCAAAATTTGCACACAAGGTGTAGAAGTATAGTATGAGTACAACCGACCCGCATACTCAGTAAGTATCAAGACTAACCTCAACGAAGTAGTGACGAGGTTGAGTATAAAAATACTAACTTTATATAACCTTTGCAGCTCATAGGCATACACAATAACAGAGAAATAGTCAAGAAACAGTCAAAGAACAACATATATCAGTAATAAGGTGCTCAATCAAAGAGGAAGGTAATAAGCATGCCTTTTCAATTAAACAAGTCAAAGCAGATACAAATGCACTAAATCCGCATACAAAAGAGATATGCACCAAGTAACGTTTACTCGAATATTTCTATATGAATGTAGAGTGTCTATGCATGATAAAGTCCAAATTACATATCAATTACCAATTAACATTTATTCTTATGCTTCTATATGAGTCCAAAATGTCCATGCATAATCTCATGCCAGCATTATGCAAAATAAAAGTAAAATCTAGAGTACTAGAAGTTCTCTATATTTCCTACTATCATAATAATCTCTAATAGAGCTAAAAACCCTCATAGAAAGCATACCATTTGAACTAAATGTACTAACACGAGTAAAACATATTCTACGTAAGTGGTATTGGCTTTATAGATCTTTTCCTTCCATTGTGGCGTGTGCTCTAGCCTCTAGGTCTACCCATCACTTTTAACGCCTTCATCCACCATGGTTTTGCACCCAAGGAGACTGGTGCATCTGGAGGTCGATGCAAAACATGACAAAACCATTTTAGACGACTTTTCTCAATGTGTGCTACTTGCACCTTCCGGCAAATGTGAACAATTTTAATCTTGTCTAATCTTGTATTGATACACATGCATTTTAGCATCTTCATCTCTGCATCTTGTGGAATGTGTTGGACTTTAGCATCCGAATTTTCACTCTCATATAACATTACTGGTCTTGTATTTGTTTTATAGAACCCACCTTTCACTTTGGTAGGCATCCTTCTATAACATAATCCCTCGATAGCACTTCTTCATTTCAACCATGTAACTTTGATTATTTTTGTATCTTCACATATCATTCATTCTCTTGGACCAACAAGCCTAAATATCTGAATTTTACATTTAGATACCACAATCCCTTCTAATCTCACCTGAACTTTCTTTTCTTATGCTAGCTAAACATGCAGTGCATATATTTGGTCTTACTTCTGCTTATCCTAAAACTCTTACTCTCTAGAGTGCTTCTCCATAGTTCAAGCTTTGGGTTGACACCCTCGTTGGTTTAGTCAATTAGGACAATATTATCAGCAAATAGCATATGGGGAATCATCCTGTGCTGTGTTGGAAAAAATTTCTCTCCATTATCTGAGCTTCTATCAATAAGATTGGAATCTAGAATTGTCGGGCATTTTCACTTGCATTTCCTCTCTCTTATCTGTGTTGTACAATCTCTAAGGAGTTTTCCTTCTGCTGCTTCTATCTGGAAATCTAAGGTTCTATTGAAAATTGAGGCTTATGTGTCCCGTTGCTGCCTGAAAGCTTAACACCTATAAGCTGTTACAATTAAGAAAACCTTACTAATTGAAAGTACATATTAGGTGATTGCGCCTAAAATAAACTATAAAGATACTCTTTTTTTAATTTGTCCCCCAGGTCTTTGATATTGTGGTAAGAGTGCAATGCGTAATGTGTGTTAGGCAGACATCATGGGTTCGAACCCTGCTGCATAGAAAACTCTGGTATTTAAGTCGAGAAAGGTTATCTATCGAGTTTTGAACCGTTTGCCACTGGTTTCTAGCAGTGTTGTGAAGCGCGTGAAGCGAGAAAAAGCGACAAACCCCATTTCGCTTAAAGCGAGAAGCGAAGCGCTCGCTTTTTTGAAGTCAAGCGAAATTTTAAAAAAAAAAAAATATTGCATAGACACATGTAATTGTAAGCAAATGTTCAATACTTCAATATAAAAACTAAATAGTAGCATCAATT